ACCCTGCCCTGAGCCAGTGGTTGCACAAGCATGAATTATGTTGAACTAGACAGCTATGGCATATTGGCAGAGATATTTGATGGTGATATATTGATGAATGTTCCAATTAAAAGGTTGTCTTGGCATCCTCAAATGTCGAAGAGCTAAGGAATGAGGGTATCAAGTGCAGGAAAGCTGCCACCTTGCTTCATGGTAACACAGGAAGCACAGGAGTTTTTTTGCTGTTTGTTTTTCCCTTTGGGGCGCTTAGCTTTTCTGAGTTGGTTCTCCTTCTTTAAGAACAGCTTTTTGGCCTATAGCCTTGTGGTTTAGTTTGGTTGTCAAACTTCCAGGTTTTTTTGCCTTGTGAACAGTGAAGCCAGCTGCTCTGCGTAACAGAGAAGCTGAGCAGCGTTTGAACTCAAGTCCTTGCTGGGCATGTGACCAGTGCTTGCCAGCAGCATTTCCTAAAGTTGCTGCTACTTTTCTGTTTTACTGTTTTGTTGTTAAAAAGGTATTGTCCTGTGGTACAAGCAGTGGTGAATAAGCAAAAGCCGTAATGTATGTGTAGTTCAGTCTGTAACCTGCCATCCCATGTGGCATTTTCAGTGACATTTTTCACAAAACACAAAGTTTTGTGAGCTACTGTGGACGAAGGGATATATTGCCACGATCTGTTGGCAAACTTGCCAAAGGAAATAAGCACCATGTGCCTGGCTCGGTTGTTGCAAGGCTGTAAAAACACTCGCGCTAATGAGGCAGGTGCTGAAATTCAAAAGGCTTTGCAAGTCCCCTTTGAATAAAGTACCTCCAGTGGCTGGCTGTCCTCTGAGCAAATCTGTGCTCGTGGCAGCAGTGCATATGTAGTGTTTTGGATTCTATCCTCACAAGAATCACGATCACACGGAAGGAGTGGTGGATGCTGCTGCTAAGCCAGAGGAACAAGTCGTGGAGGGAAACCTGTGGGAGGACAGCCTGGGCACAAGCTTGCTTCAACCAACGCCGAATTCAAAACCTGCCCTGTGCTGCCGTTGTAATGTAGGGGAATGATGGCTGGGGGAGGCCATAATCCCCCAG